GGGAAAGAGGCAAGCAAGGAGCCTCAAGAATTCGGGTAAGCTTAGAGGAGATGCCGGAAGGTTTGAGGGCAGACCTGGAGGTAACAGCTGAGCAGACTTTGTAAGCCATACAGGCTGCACATGCTGGAGAAATGCTATCATAACACAACCACAGGTCAGGACCCCAAAGTGACACAGGCATGCCCAAGGGACCCTGGGCCAGGCTGAAAGAGGACACGGTGCTTGGGACGTCAGGAGCCAGGCTCTAGGAAACCAAGTCAGGGTGCTGAGAGGGCAAGTGCCCATGTGAGGGCACAGATTGAGTATGGCTGGGTGGGCTGGTCTGGACTGAGGTGGACTGGCCCTGCCTTTCTCTCATGCAGTGGGACTTGGTGTGTGACTCCAGGAAACTGAAGCAGTTGGCCCAGTCTCTCTACATGGCAGGCTTGCTGATTGGAGGGCTGGTGCTGGGATACCTATCTGACAGGTGAGACGCCAACACACAACCCATGCAAACAATCCCTCTTCTCTCTGCTCCACCTATGTTCCCTCAAAAAAAGGTAAAGACATAAGTAGGGGGGCCTCACTGTGTAGCCTTGGGCAAGTCCTATTCCCTTTCTGGAGCCTTCTGTCCACACCAAAGCCCTTACAACCTGAGTCTTCTGGCCTTCCCATACCCAGGGAGATACGTCTCCTAGCTCTTTAGATATAGGACACAGCCTAGTGTTGGTGCAGCGGTGGAGGCAGGGCAGGACTGCTTAGAGACAGGGGGGCCTTTGACCCCTGTTTGCTCAGCTAACCTGTGGTGTACATGGAAAAGATCACTCATTAACTCAAACCTTTAATTATGAGCTTGTTGAAAAATAGCAATTACCAGCAAGGCCCTGTCTGGGAAGTGAGTTTTATGCCCCAGCTGGTCCTTTGGGAGGTGAGGGAAGGGTGTCCAGCCCTTTACCCCGAAGCCTGCCGAGTCACCCACCTTGGCAGGCACAGAGTGGCTAACCGGCCTCCTCCTCTCCTTTGAGCTGCAGGTTTGGCCGCAAGATCATCCTGACCTGTGGCTATCTGATGCTAGCAGCTGGCGGTTCAGGCGCTGCCTTCAGCCCCTCCTTCTCCATCTACTTAGTCTGCCGTTTCCTGTCTGGCTTTGGCACAGCAGGCATCAGCCTGAGCACCATCATTTTGAGTGAGCCACACGGGGTAGGAGGTGGGGGGGGCAGGCGGGGAAACAGGGAGCACCAGTCAGAAGCCAAGAGAGAGTTGGGTCTAGGCTTGGTCAGTCAAGGTGCTGCCCTCTCAGGACCTCAGAGGCCTCTCTGAACGAAACAATGACAACAAACGCAATAGCAGCTATCAGTACTAAGGACGTATCCCAGGCCTGGCACTGCTTAGTATAAGAGTACATTCAGTCCATGCATGCAAATAAGTGTTACTATTATTCCCGTTTTACAGAAAAAGAAATTGAGGCAAAACAAGGGAAGTCACTGGCTACTGGAGAAGCAGTGGTCAAGAGCAAGGGGCTGGGAAAAGACAGACCTGGGTTAAGACCGACCTGGGTTTGAGTCCTACCTCACTGGGCCTCAGCAGTAGAATCTGTGAAATAGGGATGATGAGCCCTTAGGATCAGGATCAGATCCAAAAGCCACTGGGAAGCAGGAACTGGTGCCTTCACAAGGAGGTTTCCTGGGCTTCTTAGGGCTCTAATCTAGTCCCTGGACTTCTCCCACAGGTGTGGAGTGGGTTCCCACCCGGATGCGGGCCATCACATCATCAGTACTTGGCTACAGCTATACCATAGGCCAGTTCTTTCTGCCTGGCCTGGCCTACGCCATCCCCCAGTGGCGCTGGCTACAGTTAACCGTGTCTGTTCCCTACTTCATCTTTCTCCTGTTATCCTGGTATGTGGCACTCTTCTCTTCACCTGCCTCCTTAAGTCCACCAGTGCCAAACAGGGGAAGGCCATGCCTGACCAGGCCAGCCAACTCTGCCCCTGGGGATCTGTCCTGAAGTCAGGGAAAGACAGTCCTGGTAGGAGGGGTTATATTACAAAGGCATGCCACAGGAGGAGGCAGCTATCTGGGAGACAGTCAGAGGTCCTGTGGCTGGAGAGGTTAAGACGAGAGACAAGAGGAGGCTGTGGAGGCCTCAACTTCCTGTAGAGGGACAGTAAGCCTTGAAGGTATCTGTGGTACTGACAGGCCTGACCAAGGTTCTGACTGAAATAATAGCCCAGAAGACAGACCCATGTGGGAGAGTATGACAGACAGAGGAAGGTGAGTCAAATCTGGCAGGTATTTTAAAGGGAGAATCTCCGGAGTTTGGGGACTTCTGGAACAAAGGAAAGGAAATGCCAAAGAGAAGCCCCAGACTGGGAACCTGGAAGGATCAAGGTGCCTGGGTTAGAAACCCTGAGAGTTCGTTATGGCAGAGTTCGTTATCAACATGTCAAAACTGAAATCACTGAAACATAGAAAATGAGTCTCTAGGAGGTCTAGCCATTGGGGGGGAGGGGTCGTCTTCCTTCTGAGGTCACACACTCACCTGGACCCATAAGAGGGAAAATGCATCCCACACTTCATTGGCTTGCATCCCGGACACAGCAGTTTCCCCATACACTGCCTGTCACTGCCCTGCTCCGGTCCAGCTCTGCCCTCTGGAATCCCACTGAACATGGCTGCCTGTCTATGCTCCAGACCTGAAGACAATTTCTCTTGAGTTTCCTTTTCTGTCTGACGCACTACAGCTTCTTCAAAGTTCTTTCTGTGACCTGATTCAGAGGCCCTTTTCCATCCTGGCCTTCCCTATGCAAATAGAATCCAGGTTGTCCAGGGTCCCTTCAAAAGGATCCCACAATTCTGAGCCAAAAAATGGGAAATCACAAGTGAGCTCAGGAAAAGAAGTAGCCTTCTATGGAGTGTTTCCTGCGTGCAAAGCCCTCTTCCGAGCATCAGCCTACTTTGGCTCTGATGTTTGTGGTATCTGTGTGGAGAATTACTGTCCCCATTTCATAGATGAGGAAACTGAGGAAGTAAAACAATTCCCCAAAGCACACAGAAAGGTGCAGAACTGGGAATGGAATTTCAGCATGGGAATGAGACTAGAAGTTCCTAGTGGGGAAGTTCCTGAGGAAGAGAGATCAAGAAAGATGATCAGAGGGTTTGAGGTGAAGCCCTGTGCCCATCCACAGCATAGAATGGGGGGGAGACAAAGAGCAGAGTTGGGAGGCAAAATATGAGTAGGTGGCAAGCAATGTACAGTTGAAAACTCAAGCCCCTTCACTGTGTGATTTTGGGCACATCTCACCCACTCTAAACCTCAAGATTTTCCTAGGTAAAATTGAGTAATATCATCTGTCACCCAGAGTTTTGTGGACCTGGGACACAGGAAGACGTACTAATTGGATGCTGTTGCTGTCATTCTCCAAGAGAGGAGGATGGAATCCAGGCCACGGAGTTTGGGAGGATGTCACAGATGGTCTTGGTGAGAGCAGGCTCAGATGACTCAGGGCAGGAACAGAAACCACAAGGCCAGGAGGGCAGATAGTGAAGGTCCCAGGAAGCTGTCACCATCATTTGGGAGCAGTAGTCGAAGTCCACCTCCCAAGGGCCTTGTTGGAACCAGGTCCTAGGTGTCCATCGGGCCCACCGCTGACCTTACACTGGACCAGACTTCTCCAAACATCACTTTTCTCTCCACCCCTCTGCCTCTTTCATTCCTCCTTACCTACTGACCTTTAGGGACTTCTCAGAGTGAGCCAACCTCAAGTATAGCCTGGGAACAAGGGAGAGTAGAAGTGACCACTCACTCGCCAGTCTGAGACTCCATGCTGTGCTCACACACCTCTTCAGCAGAATTGGTCCTCAGCAAGAATCAGAGGATCCTCGGGTCCATCCTCTAGACTATAGACCTCACTTTTACTTCCAGGCTGACCTGGAACTGCAGCCCTGCCCCTTTGCCACTACAGATACTGGGAATACAATCCCAAGAAGGCTGGGAAGGTGGACACACAAGACGCTCCAGCTGTTCAGCCTCAAGTTACGGGTTACTCCCTTCCCAAGACCCACTTGCTTTGGCTTAGGGCCTGGGGCTCCTAGCTGAGGAAGATACCCAATGATAACAAGTGGCCCAGGTAGGGGGCAGAGGAATGTCTCTTCTGGAAGGGAAAGAAGAGAAGGCTGGAATTTGCGCTGGCTGCAGGCAGCCCAGGTGCAAAGTTTGGCCAAGTTCAAATTCCATGAAATCTGCAGTGAGGCAGCTTGTTTCCTGGACCTCCTAACCCTTGGCCCTGGCTGTTGTTCTTCTAGCCTCTCACAGGGGGATTTAGTGGGGAGACTGTGACTTGACTCTGGCTCCCAGGTGGATACCAGAGTCCATACGCTGGTTGGTCCTGTCTGGAAAATCCTCAAAGGCCCTGAAGATACTCCAACAGGTGGCTGCATTCAATGGCAAGAAGGAGGAAGGACAAAAGCTCAGCTTGGAGGTAGGGCCAAGATGTGGTGTAGTCCACAGGCCGGCAGGTGGCATGATGTTAAAGGCTGGACTCCCACATAGCCAACAATGGTTCGAGTCCCAGACCTGGTGACTTCCTTTCTCACTTTACCTCTTTCTCTCTCTCTGTCTCTCTCTGGTCAAATTGGGAAATAATAACAATAATAATAAAGTTAAAATTGAAAAATTCTTTTAAAAAAAAAGAGGTGGTGCAGTCTGGGGGCAAGACCCCTGTGCTCCCCTCTGGGGCTAGCCCCTCACTCACCTTTGTTATCCCTGCTCACAGCCTATATTGCACCTGATCCACTAAGCGAGTTCCTGTAGTGGTACCAGGTTTGCACCTCTCTTCTCCCTACCCACCAACTGATCACTAATGGTACCCCTCCCCCTCCTCTGCCCCAAGGAGCTCAAACTCAGCCTGCAGAAGGACTTCTCCAAAGCCAAGGCCACGAACAGCACAGCTGATCTGTTCCGGATACCCATCCTGCGTCAAGTGACTTTCTGTCTTTCCCTGGCCTGGTAACCCACTACCCAACCCTACCCACACCCTGCCAAGGCAGGGGTAATGAAGGAAGCCTTTGATAGTCTCACCTATGGGGCAAGGTCTCAGACCTGGTGACTTCCTTTCTCACTTTACCTCTTTCTCTCTCTCTGTCTCTCTCTGGTCAAATTGGGAAATAATAACAATAATAATAAAGTTAAAATTGAAAAATTCTTTTAAAAAAAAAGAGGTGGTGCAGTCTGGGGGCAAGACCCCTGTGCTCCCCTCTGGGGCTAGCCCCTCACTCACCTTTGTTATCCCTGCTCACAGCCTATATTGCACCTGATCCACTAAGCGAGTTCCTGTAGTGGTACCAGGTTTGCACCTCTCTTCTCCCTACCCACCAACTGATCACTAATGGTACCCCTCCCCCTCCTCTGCCCCAAGGAGCTCAAACTCAGCCTGCAGAAGGACTTCTCCAAAGCCAAGGCCACGAACAGCACAGCTGATCTGTTCCGGATACCCATCCTGCGTCAAGTGACTTTCTGTCTTTCCCTGGCCTGGTAACCCACTACCCAACCCTACCCACACCCTGCCAAGGCAGGGGTAATGAAGGAAGCCTTTGATAGTCTCACCTATGGGGCAAGGTCTATAGCACCTGCAAGAAAAATCAAGGGATTCCCCTCCAATGGACCACCATAGCCCTGTCCCAACCCTTGAAATCTGCTGTATCCCTACCCTACACCAAGGTCCAGCCTTTGGGATCTCCTTACCCCTGAGGTCACACACCCACCCATGCCCACAGGGAGAGCAAATGCTTCCTACCCCTTCACGGCTCACATCTCTGATACAACAATTTCCCCATACTCTGCTTGTCACTGCGCCCCTCTGGTCCAGTTCTGCCTTCTGGAACCCCACTGAGCATGGCTGCCCCTCTGGGCTTCAGACTTGAAGACCGAAACTGTTTCTCTTGAGTGTCCTCGTCTATCTGACACTCTACAGCTCCCTCAAAGCCTTGTGATCTATTCAGAGGCCCGTCTCCATCTTGGCCATCCCTATGCAAATAGGATCCAAGTTGTCCAGGACTCCTTTGGAAGGACTCGAGTGTGCTGCCCAATCTCCCCTCCCCCAATTTGCATGTTAAACTGCTACCCCAACAAGAGAGACATTTCACTACCTCCTTTGGTCTCCAAGATTCCCTCCAATCCTGATTCACTAGAGTCAATTATGGGTACTTTTGCCCCCACCACCTAGACCATGCCCATGTCAGATATGGCAAATCAATTCTAGCACTTTCTTGCTGAGCCCAGAATCAATCTCAGAAACCCCAAAATGGCATTCAAGCAGGCCCTACTGATCAGTTGTAGTCAGCACAAGAAATGCAACTATTCATTATCCTAGCAATCACTGTGGCAAGAGGTCTCTGCCTGGCCACTGGTGCTAACTTATCTCTCTCTGCCCTTCAGGTTTGCCACTGGTTTTGCTTACTACAGTTTGGCTATGGGTGTAGAAGAATTTGGAGTCAATCTCTACCTCCTCCAGGTCATCTTTGGTGCTGTCGACATCCCCTCCAAGCTTGTCACTTTCCTCTCTATAAACTACTTGGGCCGGCACATCACTCAGACCACTGCATTGTTCTTGGGAGGAGGGATCATCATGGCTCTCATCTTTGTTCCCTCAGGTAAGAGGCTGGGACTACTCCAGAATCCTCTGGAAGATGCTGCCACAGACTGGAAATTGGGGTGTCAAGGATTCCAGTTCTTTTGGCTCTGCCCCTAATTCCCTGTTACCTGAGTAGGTCCCTATACTTTCTGGGGTTCAGGTCTCTCATCTAAAAAATATCTCTTTTGTGCTAAATGACATTGAAGCTCCTTTTCAGATATGACTTGCACAAGGCCAAGTATGGTGGTGTCTGAACAGTATGAGGAATTGCTTGGGGACCGCATATATCCTACAGAGAAGGCGTTGAGATGGGGAAACAACAGAGCCCAGTGTTCAGGAAAGACCCCACTTTCCTGAACTCTTGGGCATACGTGCACATGCACCTGGCATGAGGTTTAAGCCACTCAAACTACAGTCTACTACATGGGAGTCCAGTGACGTAACCATTATGCCCATCTTCTGGTCCTAGCTTTAAGTTTTCATCTGTGCTCCCTGGCAACCAAAGAAGAAAGGGAGACAAGGACTGGTGAGGAGTGAGAACCCTCAGGTGCTACTGAACCCCAAGGCCCACCACATTTTCTTCCCTCTTTAGACATGCCGACCCTGAGGACAGCACTGGCTGTATGTGGAAAGGGATGCCTGTCCAGCTCCTTCAGCTGCCTCTTCCTCTACACAACTGAACTGTATCCCACAGTCATCCGGTAGGTGCTAGGCCTGGAGCCAGGTCCTGCCAGCGGACCCAGGATCAGGTGGGACTATAGCACTCACCTTTCCCCTGTCCACGGGCCCCAGAACCATCCTTCAAGAACCCTGCATAGGCTGCCAATCTTTATTCTAGAACCGCGTTGAGATGGGGAAACAACAGAGCCCAGTGTTCAGGAAAGACCCCACTTTCCTGAACTCTTGGGCATACGTGCACATGCACCTGGCATGAGGTTTAAGCCACTCAAACTACAGTCTACTACATGGGAGTCCAGTGACGTAACCATTATGCCCATCTTCTGGTCCTAGCTTTAAGTTTTCATCTGTGCTCCCTGGCAACCAAAGAAGAAAGGGAGACAAGGACTGGTGAGGAGTGAGAACCCTCAGGTGCTACTGAACCCCAAGGCCCACCACATTTTCTTCCCTCTTTAGACATGCCGACCCTGAGGACAGCACTGGCTGTATGTGGAAAGGGATGCCTGTCCAGCTCCTTCAGCTGCCTCTTCCTCTACACAACTGAACTGTATCCCACAGTCATCCGGTAGGTGCTAGGCCTGGAGCCAGGTCCTGCCAGCGGACCCAGGATCAGGTGGGACTATAGCACTCACCTTTCCCCTGTCCACGGGCCCCAGAACCATCCTTCAAGAACCCTGCATAGGCTGCCAATCTTTATTCTAGAACCAGTTGATGACGTGCTGGTCAAGGAAGGTGGATCCCACATGACTGACTGTATGGTTTGAATCTCAGACCCAGTGGCTTGAAAAACAGCCAGATACATATGCATGCATGCCCAAAATTCTAAAAAGAGGGAGAAATGGACAGGGAGTGATTGTGGTGTAGCCATCCCCCCAGGAGGATCCTATCCCTCACATTCTTTCTCCGTCTGTCTCTCTCTGGTGAGCACATGCACCCTGTAGCAAATTAAAAAAAAAAAAAAAAATCTCTGCTCTGAACTCTCCTAGGCAAAGAGGTATGGGCATAGGTAACGTGTGGGCCCGCATTGGAAGCATGATATCCCCACTGGTGAAAATCACATCTGAGGTGAAGCCCTTCCTGCCCAATGCCATCTATGGGACTGTCACCCTCCTGGCAGCCAGTGCCGCCTTCTTCCTGCCTGAAACCCTCAATAGACCCTTGCCAGAGACAGTGGAAGACATGGAGAACTGGTCAGTCCTTTGCATGTGGTCCCTATCTGTGCCCCTCAGGGTAAGCAGGTCTGGGCCCAGGGCTTTTCCTGAGCTCTCTGTCCCTAGGTACTCACGGACAAAGAAGCCAAAGCAGAAGCCTGAAGCAGAAAATGCATCCCAGAGGATCCCTCTGCAACCTTGCAGACCAGGCCTGGACCCCAACTGAGGACAACAGAACCCCTTTTCCTGCCTTCCAGAAACTGGTGTCAGCCAGGACTCTGCCTGCCTCCGGTCTCCTCAAGTACCTTATGGTTGTGAGGAGGCCCCGGATGGGTCTTTGCTCCTCATACAAAGCCCTCTGAGAGCTTGGTGAAAGCATCTCCACGCCTACCACTCCCACTAGAGCCCAGCCCAGCCAAAGTCTTCCCACACCCAACCCTGCCCTCATCCTTCCTGCAACTGAGGCTCTCCCAGTCTCTTATCCAGCCCTTCCCCACTGGGGCATCTTCCCCCACTGTCCTGGGCCCCTTTCCTGACATCCTCTGAGGTCCCCTGGCTCAATCCTAACAAAAACAACCTCCCTTTTTTTACCTCCACACTTTCTTGGATAAATGGTTTTAATAAACAGTGATAAGAACTCAAGTCATGCTGCTCAGGAATAGGGGGTAGAGAACGGGAATGGCCACAGTGCTGACATGTGAACACATTTGTGCCCATCGGTACTTAACATGTACATACAGCTACAGGCACATGTAAGCAGGGATGATGTGAACATGTGCATGCATGTGTAAGTGCTCTGAGGTTTGTGTACACCAGACCTGTGTAAGAAAATACCATGTGTGTGTCTACATGTTCCAGCAAGCGAGTAGATGACTAAGCAAGCCCAGAGTGGCTTCAGACAGAGCTGGAACTCTGCCAATCCTGATCCTCCTCCCCTGCTCACCCTGAACCTTTGCTCCATGTTCAAGCCCTACAGATAGTTTTGTTTCCTGTTTAATGGAGAAAACTGCAGCCATCGTCCATGTCTGCCACCATGTTCCCTGGCTCCCTCCAGTCACAGCAGAAGGTCCTCTCACTGGGGTTCTGCATCCAGCCTCTCCTATCAGCAGGCTCCCCTTGAGCGTCAGTCCCTTCCCTCTCTCCAGCTCCTTCCCATCACCAGTTAAGCATGCTCAGGCCTCTCCACTACATCTCTCCCTGAAGCTGCTTTCACAAAGATGCTCATCAGCTCCCTGTGCTGAACCACTTTTCATCTTTCCTCTTATCTGGCCTCTCAGTAGATGTGGTCACTTTGGTGATTTGCTCCTTCCTTGGTTTCTGAGATGCCACATGCTCACAGAGCCCCCCTATGGACTGGCTGCTCCATTCAGGCTCCTTTGAGGTCTCCTGTAAATGCCTCAGCCATCATTTCACATGACCTGGCTCCACCCCTTCTCCAAGGCCCTATAGCCCCAGAATTGTTAACTGAACAGTTCCATGATCCTCCACCTCTGGTCATGACTGATTAGACCAAAGGACAATCTCTTTAATCACATGTTCCTCCTAGGCTGGGATCTGAGATATGGAGGTTCTAGTCCACCTCCTGGTTCTGGCCCTGGGAAGGCAAGTTAGCATGAGGCTGAGCTGGCCCAGATGCAAGTGCAGCATAGAAAGTCAGCTGCAGAGAGGGCATAAAGCAGATGCACAGAGGAGAAAAGAACAAGAGATCACATGAGCCCAGATAAGGGTAAGGGGCCAGCTGGTGGAGTGGTGGTTAAGGCAGCTGGATCCCATATGGCTGACTGCATGACTCGAGTCCTAGACTGGTGGCTTGAGAAACACACCAGGCATGTGTGCATGTGTGCATGTCCAAAATCCCAAAAGGAGGGAGAGACGAAGAAGAGATTGCACTGTGACTGTTCCCCCAGGGATGCTTTCTCACTTTCTTTCTCTCTCTTTTTCTCTCTCTTCAGTGAGTGAATGCATCTTCTGCATTAGCAGTAATAACTAATATTATTATTATTAAATAGTAATAATAATAATAATGAGTTGGTGAGACTATTTACACAGGTTAATATTCCAGATCCTGGTTCCTCATCAGCCCTGAATGCACTATTTTTTTTCCTTTTAGAGAGATTTTTGCTATAGAGCACATGCACTTGCCAGAAAGACAGAAAGTGAGAAATCATCACCCAGAGGGGATGGCCATGCTGCAATCCCTTCTCCTCCATTCTCCTCTTGGGATTTTGGGCATGCACGCATACATACCCAGCATGAGTTTCAAGTCACCTGGTCCAAGACTTGAACTGTAGTCAACCACGTGGAAGTCCAGTGATGTAACCATTATGCCATCTGCTGGTCCCCCTGGATGCACTTCCTACTCCTGGATTGCATTAAATTTAACAGAATTCCTCATGTTTTCTTTTCATATTTAAACTAACTCAGGGGGTTCTGTTCCTTGTAACCAAACAATTCCAAAAGCAGCTCTTCTTTTTCTATTACTCCTCATTTTTTTTTTTTTTTTAAAGAGGTTTTTTGCTATAGGGTACATGTGCTCACCAGAAAGAGAGAGTCAGAGAGACAGTGTTGTGCCCCAGTCGCAAAATTCCCAAAAGACCACCAAGGAGCCGATTACGATGCAAGCGTATAAGGGTCGCTTTTATTCGGGCTTAAGCCAGGATCCTCAGCTCTGGTGTTAGTTGGGCTGGGTTTTTATTTGGCTGTTGGGGTGGGAGAGGGGAGGTCGAGGGATGCTGAGGAATGCGCTCAGGTGGCTATACATTGGCTATATATTTTAAGAAGTATAGTTGTCTTTTACTGGTTTGCAAGAAAGTTACTTCAGGTCTTTGGTATTTCCTTTGTTTTTTATCATTGGCCAGCCCTGATGGGGTTATGGTCTTATGACCTTCTCCTATGTGATTGGCTTGCCTCCTTGAAATGGTGCTGATTCTCAGCAAGCTGGGTTTAACAAAATGGAGTCACCTCATGAGAAAATGGAGTCACTCTGGCCCTTCAACAGAAAGCGAGAAATCACCCCCCAGGGGCATGGCCACACCATAATCCCTTCTCTTCCATTCTCTTCTTGGAATCCCATGTAGTCGACCACAGTTTGAGTTCTGGATCCAGTGGCTTAGACTTACGCCAGGCACATGTGCATGCATGCCCAGGATCCCGAGAGGAGAATGGTGGAGAAGGGATTGTGGTGTGTCCATTCCCCCGGGGGGCTGATTTCTCACTTCCTGTCTCTCTGTCTCTCTCTGTCTTTCTGGTGAGTGCACGTGCCCTATAGCAATAAAAAGACCTCTCCCCCACAAAAACAATTTCCTAGTAGCTTTTTTTTTTTTTTTTTTTTTCTTACCAGAGAGACACAGAGAGAGAAAATGAGAAATCACTCTGGGAGGCAGGAAGCTGCCCATGCCTAAATCCTCTCTTCTCCATTTTCCTCCTTTGGGCATACACGCACACAGATCCAGCGTGATTCTCAAGCTGTCAGGTTCAGGATTAGAACAACAAAGTCAGATATATGGGATCCAGTGCCTTAACCTTCATGCTATCTGCTGGCCCATCTCATAGACATTTTTCTTAAAGAGAGATTTTTGCTATAGGATGCATGCAATGGCTGGAGAAGCAGAGAGAAACAGAGAGACAGCAAGAAATTCATTCTATAGGCAGATGACCACACTGCAATATCTTCTCCTTCATTTTCCTCTCAGGATTTTGGGCATACACATACACGCACCCAGAGTGAGTTTTAAGCCACTGGGTCCAGGACTCAAACCCTGGTCAACTATGTGGGAGTCCAATGATGTAACTATTACACCATTTGCAGGTCTCTTATAGCCATTTTCTAAAAGTTAAGAGAGGTCCAGCCAAAAGGCCAGCAGGTGGCATGAGGGTTAAGGGCGCTGGACTCCCACTGGCCAGCTGCAGTTTGAGTCAGACCTGGCACCTTGCTTTCTCTCTCTCTCTCTCTCTCTCTCTCTCTCTCGCTCTCTCTCTGTTCATATCTGTTCAAATTTAAATAAATAAGATTAAATGAAGTAATTCTTAAAAAAAAAATAATAATAATAATAGAGAGGTCCAGCCGTGGCAGCAAGTGCTGGTGCATGCTGCTATTCAACAGGTTGAGGCCACATAGGAGGCCTGGGTTCAATTCCTGGCACACTTTAAAATGCCATGCACAGTTGTATGCACTGTGGAAGGCTAGGGCAGGAGAATAACAACATAGCAAGACCCTGTCTAAATTAAAACGTAATTAAAAAGAAAAAGACTCCTTCATGGTTCCTGAGAACTAGTGATTTCAGGGAAAAAAGAGAAATGAAGATTTTTCTACCAATAATTCAGTCTCCAGCCCACAAACTCAAGTGGTAGGGAGCCCATTTAGCCTTCTCTCTATCTCTGTCTTTGTCTCTGTTTCTATCTCTCTCTGCTTCTGTCTCTGTCTTCTCTTTTTTTTATAATTTGTTTTTTTTAATTTTTAAGGTTGGTACCAGCAGTTAGCGTAATGGCTATGTCGCTGGACTCTCATGTAGTCAACCACAGTTCGAGTCCTGGACCCAGTGGCTTAAACTCACACCAGGTGCGTGTGCGTGCATGCCCAAGATCCCGAGAGAAGAATGGTGGAGAAGGGATTGCGGCGTGGCCATCCCCCCCACCGGGGGGGGGTGATTTCTCCCTTTCTGTCTCTCTGTCTCTCTCTGTCTCTGTCTCTCTTTCTGGCAAGCACACATGCCCTATAGCAAAAATCTCTCAAAAAAAAAAGAAAAAGAAAAAAAAAATTAAGGTAAAGTATTTTCTCAGCTTTCAGCCCCACTTTTATCTCACTAATAATTCCCTCTTCTCCTCCCATCCAGGAGAGGAAAGGGAAAGGGCTTCAGAACAAGACTCCTTCATGTCTTCTGAGAACTAGTGATTTTGTGTGGCATGCTTGCACACCACAAGGTTTTCTATTTTTTGCCTTTTTTAAAAAAATTTTTGTTGCTTGTTTTTAATTCATTTCTCTTCTTTTTCTGTTTCTTTGTTGTTGTTGTTGTTGTTTCTCTCTCTCTGTTTCCTTTTTCTTTTATCTCATCACTCTGCTCCTCAATCTCCATTCACTGTGTTTCTAGACCAATCTAAGGGAATCATAGCCAAACATCCAAACATTATCAGGTTTAACATATTCCTCAATATCCACTGAACCTGCTGCACAAAGGGATAAAAACAGAATGGCAAAGAGATTCCAGATCAAAGGGCAGAGGGTCAGAAATAGGGATTAAATATACATACATATATATATATATATATATATATATATGTATAAACACACATATACACACACACACATATATAGAGAGAGAGAGAGATGAAACTAGAAATGGAAAATTATTGACAATAACATGCATAATTAAGCCACTATGCAGTATATTCTGGATGGAAAACCACATTTTGTATGTTGTGACAATCCTTAGGAAATTAATGTAAATTAATTTTTAAAAAGTTTCAGAAAAATAAATAAATAAATTTTTAAAAAGTAATTAGAAATAAGTAAAGTTAATGTTAATAACATGTTATATATAAGGGAACCAGCAGTTAGCGTAATGGCTATGTCGCTGGACTCCCACGTAGTCGACCGCGGTTCGTGTCCTGGACCCGGTTGCTTAAAACTCATGCCGGGCACATGT